TCCCCTCCCCTCTTCCCCTTCGGTCCCGTCTGCACCTTCTGATCCCGCCTGCAGGTGTGAAAGAAGGTGCTCCCCGCCTGCAACTGCCACACGGCACCCATCACCTTAGCACGCGGTACCTAAGATGGTTACCTCTGATAACTGGCACAGTGGCTGGCACCTCCCAAGCCGTCTTGCAACCGAGCGTACCTTCCACTCAGCTGAACCGTTGCATCGATCCGTCAACCCATGTACAGGCGCAATACCATGATGCTTATGCCATCTCATGTGCTGAGACGGTTGATCAAGGGAGCTCCGACAGACACCAGTTCCAGAATCTCATGGCTGACGCAAGTCCTGTTTGACAAAGTCACATGGGCGACTTGTCCATGTCTCGCCAGCGACAGGGGTCTTTGGCTTTGGCTCTGGGTCCGAGCTCCATTCTAGACGTCTCTTCCAGGTCTCTCTTTCTGTCTGTTCTCCGTACCCTCGGTGAGTGTCTACCGTTGCACGCTTGGTACCACCACAAGCGTAAACCGCACCGTCACACCGCTGTCGCAATGGAAACACTGGTTCTCGAACTGGAGAAGATAGCTTCGAGCCCGCATGTCTAGCGGGTTGCGCGAGCATCGTCATCCGCTGGCTCGACCGACTCATGAGCTTCCACAGCATGTGTACAGTTGCCAACCTTTCTCGACGTCGATGGACCAATATGCAGCCGCCGGTCTTCCGGCTTGGGATCATTCGTCTTGCTAGGAAGAACGAGCCACTTCAAAGGGTCATCGACCCAGAGTTGTGTCTCGATCGGGTCAACTTCTTCATGCAGTGGACCCAGTCCACTCCAGTGCTACCAGGCAACAAGGTAGCGCCCGTTTCGCACCCGACCCGCGAGGTATCGACACCGCACAGAGCACAAGCTGTCAAAGATCAGCACTTCCAGGGACCCGGGCCACCCTCTGTGCCCAACCCCTTGAAGTCATCACGAATTGTACATCCTAATCAGGCTCTGGTGGTCCGAACTCTTCCACCATGACCCACGACAAGAAACTGTCGAGCGATTCAGTAGGACACCCATCAGACGTCAGACTGTCCGCCGTCAGTTTGGGATGGCAGGCCGTACACAAGCCCCCCCTCCCCCCCATCCAGCAAAATGCAATCGGGAAAAACGATACAAGTCTGTTCGCCTCCTGCGCGGTCGTCGATACGCAAGTGCGGCCTTTCAGGTCGCATCAGCACAGGCGTTGTCAGGAGTCCTGCACCCAAGCGAAAGGCGTTGCTAGTGCATGCTCTGGTTTCCTGGCCGCTTGAGCCACCCATCGCCAGACCAGTCGGTGATGGAAATCGATAGTGCGAGCTGCCAAGAGTTGCGAGAACAGGCATCAAAAGACCCGACTTCAATCTGCGAGCGACTGGCGACCATGGCATGTGCTTGTTAAAGAGGTTGCGTTTGCCGTGCATCCAAATCGGCGGATGATGCTAAAAAAAGGCATCCCCACCGCAACCCCGCCGTCGGTTGCCCTCAGCGGTTCAAGACCGGCTATCATTGGCTACAACGGCTCTGCACAACGCCGCCAGCGGTTGTGACCATACAACGACAGCAGCCATACATATACAACCCTCATGATGAGTGGCATCCTGGCTTGTCACCTGCATTCACTACTGCGTCCCAGCAACCAAACAATCACGTCCACGCTAGTCGTCCTGCCACTCAGCTCTCGACGTTGGCACGAATTATCGAGCTCTCGCGTGGCCAGATGGCCAGCGGCGATCCGGGCTCAGCCGAATGCACAAAGAATGTCCAACATCAGTGATCTCATGTCGTGCAAAATCTTGTGCGAACCACAGACTTGGGTCTCGATGTTGGTTCATCCAGCTGACTGATTGGACGACGACAGGCAGCCATGTTGATTGTTGCAATTATAAGGAGCTCAGGGCCGGCGCGCAAAAGCCAGGCCTGGCTTTTCGTCTATCGTGACCTACTTATGTCACATGACAACCAGACGAATAAGACCCCAAAGTTATGCAGAGCTGCCCAGTTCATAAACGTTGCAATCGGTCCGTCCAACTTGGTGTCGTGACATGTTGACCGCTACTGTCCTGACTCGTCTCATGGCGGCTCATCCCACCCAGGACCGCGGCACCGTCACGCACCTGTTCCCGGCTCAAGTCGCGACTTTCTTTGTCCCTTCCCGACACTGAAACCCATCCGTCACCTGATTGCTTCGCTCCAGTCGTGATTTTGATGACAGGGAAATGGTCGCTAAGCTGTTGCTGTGGTGGGTCGGCCAAGCAGAATGCCTTCGACCTCGGATCCGACGCCACCCGCCCTGATCGCCGCGGCGTTGCACGACCTGTGCAAGGCATGAAGACAGGGTGTGAGCGTCAGCGACTTGATTTCACGGCTGCTCAGGTCGCCGTGAGATGTTTTACAAACGAATGCCGATTAACCGGGGCGGGGTCCTCGATCTGGACGACAACCCGCTTGTCGTCTCAATCATGAAACAGGAAGACAGGGACGTCATCCGAAGCCTCAGACTCGGGAGTTCACGTGAACATGCTCTTATTTGCTCGGTATTGCTTGAAGACTCTACGATCATTGATCCTGTCGGGATCTGATGTCACACATGCACATGATCCATACTTCCCAAGGGCCCTCGCCTATCACATGAGGCCGGTGATGCGAGAAGCTGTGAAGATCATGAGGCGCATGCCAATATCTAGGTCGTTATTGAAATGCCACAAGTAGAAACAATGCGCCTGTTAACTGTCTGCGTCGTGACCTCTCGATCGCTGTCGCGACTGGTGACCAGGTCGATCTGAACACTGGAAAGATAAAAAAGAGAGGAGTAGCTACCCAGGATCAGTGTCCATCGTTGTCGGCTCACCGGCCTCTAGAGTTTTTTTGACCAGTTTCAAAATAAAAACAAAATGCGCTCCAAGAGTTTACGCAAGGGACACATAGGAGTACAGATATGGGTACACTTTATCACTTGAGGATGAGGAGGAATTTCTTTGTAAAGAAGGGTTGAAGCACGTCAGAAAGCCCCTCCGCATGACGGAGATGTCTTGACATCAGGTTTCATAGCATGTACAATGCATCAAACTGGACTATGACGGTATCTGATGAGCACGCTGGTATCAATTAGGTTTGACGTGGGAATCTGCAGACATGGCTAGGTCTTGGATGTCCTTCTGTGAGTGTGAATGCGGGTAGGTCAGATCAACAGGTGATAATGTTGAGTGAGGATCGCTCATTGGCGTAGCTGACTGCCGTCTTCTGATGCCTGCTGCCATAAGTTTGAGCGATTATATAATCCGTTCATGTCACGTGTTGAGAGGAGGCCTTTCTCGCAAGAGCACAAGCTGCTCTGGACGCGAAGCTTTTGAAGCCTGTTTGCGAACGAAGAGGGCCTGCGCCGCCATCACCAGCAGGCACATATCAGTTTCAGTACAGGTATGCCAAGATTCTATATGAGATGAGATCAGAGAAAACCAAGTATCCCGGTCGAGATTTCCCGAGAGGGATGCTGCCGCCATGAATCAGAACAAGCGCCACCACAGCGCCAATGGACCGAAGAACTCCTTTCCCCAGGCTGGTCAGCTCGCGCAGCCATCTATGCAGTGAAAAGCCGTGATGTACAGAAATATACAAACAACTATTATCCGGCAGCCAGCCTCAAGCCGAGGAGGGAACGGTGGCCTGTAATGTCGGGCACAGAGGCTTCTTCGTCTTGGGATCCCGCAGCGCCCGCAGCGCCTCCTCGAGCACGGCGACCTTGGCCTTGACCTCCTCCTCGTCCTTCTCCAGCTTGTCCTCACGCAGCTGGAGCTGCTCGAACCGCGCGTCGAGGTCCTTGATGCGCTCGAGGTTGGCGTCCGGCTTCTGCGATGCCTTCCAGTACTCGTAGACGATGAGGCCCATGGCGACGCTCAGGATGAAGGCGTCGCCCACGACGTCGGCGAACAGGTCGACGGCCTTGTTCTCGGAGAGGGGCCGGAACTTGCGTCGCCAGAGGGTTGTCGCGGGGAACACGCGGAAGTGGCCCTGGCGCACGCCGAACATGCCTGTCGTACCCTGCTGGCCCTGCTGACTCTGTTGTTGCTGTTGCTGCTGCTGCTGCTCGGCCTCTATTCGAGCCTGTTCTTCCTTTTTCCTCTTCTTCTCCTCCTCCTTCTCAATTTCTTCCTTCGTCTTCACAGTCGGGGCCTCGGCCTTTTCCTTTGCTCTTGCTTCGGCGCTGGGATTTCGTAAAAGGGCGACGTTCAGCCGCATGTTGATCTGGTGTATGGATTGACCGTAGCGGGCGGCAAATTGGCGGAAGCGCGGGTGCTCGTGGGCTTGGGCCTTGATGTGGTTCTAGAGTCGCGCGTCAGCATGGGAGGGGGCGTCAGGCAGATCGAAGGCCCCCCAATCCAGGCACCAATTGGGCGGTCTGGAGGCTTTGACGTTGGGAAAACGTACGGCACCATATTTGGAGATGTGTCGCACAAGCAGTGCTGCGAGCTTGAAGAGGGGTAGGGGGACCATGGCGGGGTCGGATTCTCAGATCGCTGGGTGAAGTGATCATAGGTGGGAGACCTCAGAGAGCTTGAGGTTGTCCAAAGTCTTGGCTTTGGCTCGCTGCGACGCGGGTCGGATGGCCCGTGCATCGGTCTTTCGCAACAGCGACGATCGACTTGGAGCACGAACAAGTCTGTCAGGACACGAACTTGCCTAACAGAAGCCGTAGCTTCGATCCCCGATATATTATATGGCCGAATGAAAATCATCAATGAAGAGATGGCAGCGCCTTAGAATGCGCTTGACAATGAACCTCGTCGTGCCAACCTGCTTCGGTTGTAATCTTAAGTATTATAAGGTAGTCTATTATATCTCATCTAACATTGTATGTGTGAAACCATGAATACATCGCTGGCCGCTCCCATCCCATAAATCAAGTCAAGTACGAAGAGACACACAAGGTTGCTTGCCAGCGCCACTGCCCCCGAACTCCGTCCTCGTACCATGATGCTCCACGACATCATTGGCCGTGGTATGAATCGTTAAGATCGATAAGGCCCTGTTCGTACATGCGCTTCGCAATAGGATACACAGCGCGCGCGAAATTACTCCTCCTCTCCAGCACATACCGCGGCGAAACGTGCTCAAAGCCCTCGACCTTGTGATTCCACCGTCCCGGCCCAAAAGCGTGCAGCACATAGGTGGACGACCAGTCTCGCGCCCAGGCCGGGAAGCGCTCGGGGTGGTTGAACCTCTCGAAGAAGCTCTCGTCGTACGAAGGGAGAGTGTCCCCTTGCGTGAAGTTGGACAAATTAGACGGCTCGTCATCGTGGGTGCCGAAGAGGGCATCCGTATCCTTGTTCTCCCAGCTGCCCGGCGCAAACGCGTCGCGCTCCATAATGAGCATCTCGCCCGGCTCCCCGACGAGGCGCTGGCCAAAATTCGTGATAATAAGGTTGCTGTGCGTTATCCACCCGCCGTCGTAGGCGAGATGCATGCCGTCCATCCAGAGGCGGATCAGGCGCCCGGCCCGCACCGACATGAAGTAGCCGCTGTTGACCATGCCACCGAGCTCGCGGCCAGCGACGGCGTTGAAGCCGCTGGTGCGGAGGGGCCGGATGTCCCGGAGCGCGTGGACGTCCCAGTCGAGGTAGGTGCCGCCGAGGTCGTGGACGGCCTTGACGCGGACAAAGTCGGACTTGTGCTCCATGCCCTTGATCTCAAAGCCGTTGCCGGCGTGGGTCGGCACGTCGACAGTGCGGACCTCCATGTCGAAGAGGGTGAAGATGAGCTTGCTCCACTTGCCGGCCTCGCCTTCGCGGGCGCGGGCAACTGAGGTGCTGTTGGCCTCAGCATTGGTGTGGAGATAGATGGTCGTTGGCCGCCAGTAAAACCACACGGCGTAAATGGAGAGGAAGTGGCTGAACTGAAAACCAAAGTCTTTCGTGACGTCGGCCAGAATGTAGACAAAGTGGACAGTATTCGGGATGATCTCAGCCTGCACGGGTTGCCCGTCACTGCAGGCCAAAGATGCGGGTATGTAGGATCTCGCTTCGCGGGACGTGAGTAAGAGGAAGGCTATCACCAGCAAGGCGGCAAAGACCGAAGCTGTCCTCACGCCAAAGCGACTTCGAGGGAGTAACCCACGGCAGAGTCTGGTTCTATCATGCTGAAGAGGAGGAGAGGCTCCCAGAAAAAAAAAATAGGGCTGCTTGAGCGGCATAACCTGACGGGAGGGCAGCGAGCTACTTTTATGCGCCATTTCGACAGCCCAGTTATTGCTGGGTGGTGACACGGCTAGGTTTCTTCGTCAGTGGGGGTATCATATTGATGTCAGGGGGTTTGAAAAGTTAAAAGCCCGGCATTCCAGAACGGCTATATATGCCCGAAGTCATAGTAAGAATCTTATTTGCCTCCAGTGGTGGTTAACGTGTTCTTGCTGCCTCTGAAACGGGAGCGTGGAGGTCCATCTCCGTACGCGCTGCTGTTGATTTTGGCGTGAAGGAACCAGCCTGCGAAAAGGGATTCTGGCGTTTAGAGGCTCGACTGTCGGCCTGGCGCGACGGATCGAATGGTGGTTGCGACATGGTGGTGGTGGCTTGCAATCGACGTTGACGCTTACACGAAACGCCAAGCCTTGCTATTTCTGATGGGGAGTTAACTAGCAACTGGCGTAGTTCAACGCCAACTTAGGTACCTAGGTAGGTAGAGTATTGAGGTCTGCTGCCGTAATCGCAACACGTAGATCCTCCGATTGGGCGCTGAAGATTCCTAATTGGGATGTGCACCTAAAGCCTCTGGTGCCTTGCTTCAGGACACAAGCTCTCTGCTGTTCTGGTCTGCTGTTCTGGTCTGCTGTTCTAGTAAGCTGTTCTGATCGAGTGCTGCTGCTCGGTAGCTACCGGACGCGAGGTACCAGGTAGGAACCTAGGTATCTTACCTACCTAGGTAGGTAAAAATGGCATTCAGGGGTCTGCCTAAAGAGCCGCTCGCCTGAATCGTCGTTGTTCGCCCTAGATCATTTGAAGGGAGAAGTTCAATTGGTACATTAACCTCGGCGCCCATAATGATTCCTACTGTTGGTTCGAGGGTGTTTTCGTTGGTGCAAGCCTGTGCATGTCGGCGCTAACGAAGGCTTCACGATCATGGCGCCAGCCAGAGCAGCTCATTTACGTCCAGGTAACTAGACGACCGTGTGTTCGAGGCCTTGCTTTCGCCGCAAGGATGTACGCCGCCTCTCTCAAGGGGCCGGGTTGACCATGACACTGTTGAGATGAGCATTGCTGCCTTCGATAACTTTACCTTTATCCTGCTGCCTGGGATGCCAAGTCTCGGACCAGGATCGTTCCAAATCATGGGCACTTCCAACAATCTAGTGGTGCACTGCCCCTGGACTCCTAATCACTCCCTGGGGTCATGTCGTCGGGTTGCGCCTATGGCACAGTTGCTCAACTGCAAAATCTGCACCGAACGCTTCAGAGGACAATCGTGCTTCCCCGGCACCGACGGGTTGGGCTCAGCACGCGATCATACGGGGTGCTGGCCGCCAAGGACACGGGGCGCCGGGACCCCACGATATCCCTTCGCGGGATGGGGCTTCTACTCACCCGGTCTGGCCTGCCCCACTGGATACACAGCAGCTTGTACAGCTCGATACGACAGATTACCAGAGTGGGATATTCAAATCAAGCTCCGGGAGGGTGAGACTGCAGTAGGGTGTTGTCCAGAGTTCGTCCCCTATGTCTACCCCGTGATCCCACCGCCCTGCGCTGCTGACACGGCCCCTCTACTAGAGGCTATCGATGCACAAACCGCAACGGAAACACGTGCGTCCTCATCGCCTCGACGGAGAGGGTAGCGAGCGTTGTTGTCCCGACAGGTCGTTGTGTCGGGACAGATGTCGAAAGTCAGGGGACCGCCACGTTTCCAGACATTGTCACGCAGACCATTACGAAGACGAGCAATATCCGCTCCGTTGAGACTGTGCTGGCAATACGTGTCATCACACTATATGCCCCCATGATACAGCTTAATTACCAGCCCACGGACCTGGTCGCGTCGATGACGGACATCTCGGCCGAGGCAACGATCAGCGGCACAGATCGGGCACGGCCAGCGACAACGACTGCTTCCACCGGGCCACAGCAGCCGGTGGTGAGTTCTCCGACCGCCGGTAGCTCGAATGGTTCGGGAGACTCCACGTCAGTGACCACGATTGGCATCATCATGGGGGCCGTCGCGGGCGGGCTCCTCGTAATCGCAATCGTGACCTGGTGGGCGTGGCGGCGGAGGAAACGCAGGGAGCCAAGATCGGGATGTGGTGAGATCGGTGAGACTCATTACACAAGTAGTCAGCAGAGAGTGGCAGAGGTACAGTTTGCTGATCAACGAGGCGTGAAACATGGGGATTCACGAAGTTGGACACCGCTAGAGTTGGATGCCTACAAAGGCCCGAGACAGCCAGTCGAACTTCCTGCCGAATACATGTACAACAAGCATTGATGTACTAGATATTATGATTCAATCGAGGACACGATTTATGATGACCCACCATGTTGTTCAATCTTCGATCTGCGTGCAGGTATGTTGCTTGAGGCGGTTGTTGCTCGTACCAGCATGCTCTGGGGTCTGGACACCTGAAATGTACAACACCCAGTCTTCCGCTGCTGTACAGGTCGCTTCGCTTCGAGGATCCAAGATACCTTTGTTCTGAGATGCTTTATGAATACCAAGCCTGCTGGCACAAGGGACATCTTGGCCGTGGCCCATGGCTGTTTGTCGTAAGCCCAGCCGCGGTGAGCGATGCCGCCAGGCCTTGCTAGGGATGCCCAGGTGGGGCCAGGTTGGCGAGGAAGGTGCTGCCAACGAAGGTTCCCACAGCAACGACAACCAACCACATCGGGAAATCAACAGCAGCAATATTGTACCACGCGCCCTCAACCACCCATCCACATTATTGTAGACCTCTCCCCCCAACTCTCGCTGTCGGAAGGCTCTTTCGTGCCCCGGATCCGACAATCACGCCAACCCCATTCTCCTCGGGTGGTAACATTATTTAGTCGAGTCGACAATCTCGAGTGCATCTGTATCCTCTACACATGCCCTGCTCAACGAGGTAGGCCACCCCGGTTGGCAGTCACGGCTCTGCAACGTACGAAAGCGTGCTGGTGCTAATCACGCGACACCCCATTGCAGAGGACTCCTACCGCACACCAATCCAGGACGACGTCAACAGCAGCCCCGTCCTGACCCGCGACGTCAACAGTGCGTCAGCACATGATGGCCCATAGATTAATGGCCAAAGGAGGACCCGAGATGGAAGCTTTATCGCCTAGGGATGCGAACGCCGGCCGTCAAATGATGATGACAACCGACCTGAAGGCCAACCCGGTTCCCAACCCGGTGGCAAAGCTCAAGGCAGCACAGGGGAAAGACCACCCTCCGCCACCGCCCGATACCGTCGTCGAGCCGCCCAGCTCTGACCGCCCCGATGGCGCCGTCTACCAGGTCGGCAAGTTGCTCGGCAAGGGAGGCTTCGCCATCTGCCATCAGGGCTACTTGATGCCCGAAAAGAAGAAGTATGCCCTGAAGATTGTGAAGAGCCAGATGCCGAGCAAGATGCAGACGAAGGTCCGTGACGTCGCCCCTCTCTCGCGTGGGCACCTGACTGACCAGTGTTTGTAGTTCCAAACCGAGTTGCAGATCCACTCCAAGATGAAGCATAGAAACATCGTTCAGTTTCTGAGAGCCTTCTCCTTCAATGACTGCACCTTTCTCGTCCTCGAACTTTGTCCCTACGGCTCACTCATGGAGATGGTCAAGAAGCGAAAGGGCCTGACTGAACCTGAAGTTCGCTTCTACTCAATCCAGATTGCCGGCGCCATCAAGTACATGCACAGCAAGGGCATCATTCACCGCGACCTCAAGATGGGAAACATCTTCCTCGACCGCAATATGAACACGAAGGTCGGCGACTTTGGACTGGCAGCGCTTCTTGTCACGGGCAAGGACATGCACACCATCCGACGCACCACCCTTTGCGGCACCCCTAACTATATTGCGCCCGAGATCTTGGAGAAGGGAAAGAAGGGACATGACCACATGGTCGATATATGGAGTCTGGGTATCATCATGCAAGTCCTTCTATCAGCGTTCATAGGATGACGCACATTGCTGACAGAGTACAGGTTCGCCATGCTCACCTCGAAACCTCCCTTCCAGTCCACAAGCACAGATGAAATCTATCGCAGGGCGCGAGAGCGCGACTACGAATGGCCAACGATGGAGACAGCAGGCAAGCTTATCAGCTCCGAGGCTAAGGATATTGTCGCCACCATGCTCGAGGATGCAGACAGAAGACCTGAGCCTGACAGCATCGTTCAACACCCGTTCTTCAGCTGTGGTTATCTGCCTGTAGAAGCCGAAATGACCTCCAAACTACTCACATTGCCTCCGGATGCGCCTCACTTTTACGGCAGCCGCATGAGTACCGTGCTCCAGGCCTCAACAATGAGGCATCTCAAAGACATGTGCAGAGAGTGCGACGTCGGACCCTACGCTCGCCAGCAGGCCATTCATACACAGACTTGGAAGGAGATGGCGGCGGAGGAGAAGTCGGGTCTAACTCCGATGATTCCTCTAGCGGCACACATCGTGTATCGACCCTTCGACGAATGGCTCAAGGAGCAAAAGTCGTACAAGGCTGGCCTCCTGAGTCACTCAATGGCGCGGGCTGAGGGCAAGGCTGATGCCCAGCTCCCTCTTTCCCAGACTGTCCCAACTGGACTGCTACGCGCACCGCCGCAAAGCTTTGCAGCGCAGCAAAGAGCCCAGGGCCGCCCAACCACGACAACCGCTGCGATCAGGACCAAGGCGCAACCCGAAACTCATTCCGATGCAGCCCCGTCCCTCCGCCCAAGGACGGTAAGACAGTATACAGCGTCCGACACTGAAACAGAGACGGCGCCACCCATTAGACAACCCCAGCAACCTCCACAGAAGCCGACGACAAGCTTGCGAAGAGCACTGCCCAAGACTCAGTCTGCCTCGGCTATTCCTACACAGTCAAGTTCGACTCGCAGCAGTTCACCAACATCGAATCAGAGTGACGCATCGAAGGAAAACAATTACTCGACGCTCTTCAGTGCCTCGGAGCAACCAACGCCAGTGCTCGGTACTCAGCCGGATGCCATCCTGGAGCGTCTTCAACGTCTTCAGACTGAGCTTGAACGTGCACTGAATGCGCGCACCATGGCAATCATCTCCGCCAAAGAAAAGGCCCCCCCTCGACCCAAAGTTGTGACTCGCTGGGTAGATTACACAAATAAGTTCGGCCTCGGGTACATCCTCGACGATGGAGGTATTGGTTGCATTTTGCGAGACATTCCGACAACAGAGAACGGCAAGACCAGCATGCTGCCCCCAGCTTGCATGCTCATTCGCAACGCGGAAGAGCACAGCAAGCGCGACCAGGACCTTAGCTACACCGACAGACACCAGCCAGTCCCACCGCGAGAAGACGTCCACTTCTACGAAAACAATGGCGAGGCGGGTCTGAAATGGTACGGTGTTCCGGCTCGGCAATTCCGTGTTCCCGTCGATGAACGGGGTGTTGCGGGAAAGATGCCTCCTGGCCGGGACGTCTATGAACACAGGAAAAGAGAGAGGGTGATTCTCTGGAAGAAATTTGCGAACTACATGATTGCATATGGCAGGGATGAATTCGGTCCGGGGCATGACAACACGGTAGACCTCTTTGGTTCTCAAGACCCCTCCTCGACTCAACCCACTGATCTGGTGATTTTCTACCAGAGACTTGGCGACGTTGGTTGCTGGGTCTTCTGCGACGGTCATCTCCAGTTTAACTTCCCCGATCACACAAAGCTCGTCATCAACGCGGCCGGTACATGGTGTCACTTCTGGCACCTCCCACAGGATGCTGCCGAAAGCCTGGCGAAGACAGGCACGCTTGACCCGAAGAGTCTTGATGAGCGTAGTACTCTCTCGTACCCTCTGCAGACGCTGCTGAACTTCCAAACTAAGCCGTCAGCACGCACCACGACAACGACTCGTCGCCGCCCTGAGATTCCGGCCGACTTACAGGGCATCCCTGCGGCCAACGATTTCCGCCGCAAGATCCATTTCATCAAGGACGTTGTCAAGGAGTGGGTCAGCCACGGTGGACTGGGCAACAGCAGCATGGACCGTGAGAACAGGCTGATGTGGGCTGGTCACCGCGAGACGGTGAATGTCAAGATTCCGACCAAGATGACTTGGGTGACGATTGGGGCTCGATGGGGCGATGACAGGCTGTCCGCCTATGTGGACCCGCGTAACCCGACGGTGCTGGGCGAAGAAATTGACGAGCCTAAAAGGTTCGCTCGCAGCCACAGCAGCTAAATCACGACTTGATGACCTGGCGTTGATCTCACCCGTGGTAGGCTGAGACGTGGATCGTTGGTTTTCTTCCTTTTCTTTCACACCTGTTCCTACGTAAGCAGACGAGGTGTGCAACACTGGTCATATCGAGCGCACCTTTTCTCTCTTCAGGACTGGAAGGCTCCAACTGGCTGAATGAACATGCACATCTGGGGAGTTTGGCGCGTAGGCCGGGAATCGTGACATTCTTTGTAGTGAGCAATGGCGTCAGGCCTCATGCATGCTGTTCTGGGCTGAGGTTCTTTTTTGGGAATGCATCTTGTTCATCCACCTGCCATTGATGTCTCTGCTCGGTGACGCAAGCCTGCCTGCTGGACTGCCGAAGGTGTGACTAGCCAACTGCCAAGTTCGATGGCGTGTGGACGTGTATGTAGCTCGCGAGACTTTCGCGGCGAGCCCCTCCGTAGAGATCGGCTTTGAAATGTTACCGTGACAAACCATCTTACTGACACGGAAGACATCGCCGCAAAGACAAACGGCAGGCAGCCCTTGCTCGTCCTGTGTACCCGACGGCAGCACAATCCAGCTCGACACCCCAAGAGTGGACGACAGGCCAGGAGCTCTGAGCGCGAAAGTGCAAAAGGGAGAATTGCGTGGAGCGTTTGACTAGAACAAAGACGGAGAAGTACATACAGCATGACCTTGAAAAAAAGGGTCAAAAAACAATCGATAGCAACTGGACGTTTCGATCGTCCGACCTCCGGGTTATGAGCCCGGCGCGCTTCCGCTGCGCCAAGTTGCTTTCATTGGATGACTTGGGCGGCGAGTGTGGAGATTATAACGAAAACAAAGGCCGGGCAATGGATTTTCACCCTGGTCAAGACGGATATTTCCTCCCAGGTTGCCAGGCATAATATAATGCCAGGACAATTTGGTCCGCAGGCTCAACAACACGATGCATTCGTCACAGTCAAGCCGTTCATAGCAAATTTACCAGCCAATGACCGGTCATTATTATATCCTCGTATGTACAGATCCCAGGCATAGTCGCCGAGTCCACCACCATTTCATTGCCGCGTCCTGTATCAATGCACTCGGGGGTGAAAACCAAAGTTCACCTCTTCTCTCACACCGTAAAATCACGCCGAGCATGGAAATAAGAAGGGCAATCGGGGGCGGAAAAAAGGGTTGGGGGGGATGCACATGGTAACAACGCTAACGCGCGTCCCGTGCACACCATGCAAAACAAATTTCGTAGAACAACCACCGCCCAACAGCAGCACGCCCAGTGGTAAGAGTGGGAGCGCATCACTTCGGTGCTTGCGTGCGTCGTTGGTCAAGCGGCCATGACAGTCAGGATGCCCCAAAAGTCAACGTATTGCAATGGGTGCCATCGGAATAGGCCAACATGATGAATGATGCCGAATATCCAAGATTCACCATGTCTGATGAAGTGAGGTTGAGGTGGTCGTCGTTCCGGCCCGGAGGAGGTGAGAGGATAAAGGAAAGCCTCGGTCATTAATGCAAATGGAATGTTGTGGTCCAGAAACGCCAGAGTCGTGCCGCCAGTCGTTCTCTGCTCCTCAAATTACATGAGAATGCAGTCCTTGTCGTCGCCCTTCTTAGCCTTGCCGTTGCGTGGCGGCGCAACCTCCATAGGTGTTCCGCCGCTGACGGCAGCCTGAATAATGGCAATCCTCTGCCTTGCGCGGTCGTCTCCAGAGTCAGCTGCCTTGACGTACCACACATTGGCCTCCAAGATGTCGCGCCGGCATCCGATGCCCATCTCTGTGAAGTACCCGACGGCATACTGCGCCTTCACGAAGCCTTTTGTGACGGTCAGTACGAAAATCAGACAACTTTCGGGGCAAGTGACTTACCAAGCTCCGCAGACCGCCTGGCCCACTCGTAGGCTTCTTCTTCATCCTTCTCGAGGATAGGCTCCGCACCGACCATGTACCACGCACACAGTCCCATCATGGCGGCCGCATGGCCCTTCTCAGCCGCGCCAGTGTAAAAGTGCACACTGAGGGCAGGGTCCCTCGGACATCCGAGCTTGCCATGTTCATATGCTTCCCCCATACGGAAGTTAGCTTCGGGATGTCCAAGTTCGGCAGCTTGCGTGAACAGCTCGGCAGCATAGTTTTCGTCCTTGAAGACATCGTCCCCGTAGCCCGTCTCGTACAAGCACGCCAACTGATATGGTGCCGAATTGTAGATGGAGTCCGCGGCTTCCGCCGCCAGTTTCATCCACTTGATGCCTTCGCGGTAGCGCTTCTCTCCAAGGTCACCCACGAGGCATGCCTTGCCTAACCTCGTCATAGCACCAGGGTGTCTCTTTGACGCGGCGATGCGAAGGAACTGAACAGCTTTCGCAGGGTCCTTGCGACACCCCCAACCGAATTCGTAGCACAGAGCACTTCGATATCCAGACTCGGCGTGGCCATGCTTGGCAGCAATCACAAACAGGGGAAATGCTTGACTGTAATCTTCCTTGCCCTTGCTGAAGAGACCAGACGCATAGCCATCGGCAAGGTAGTATTGCGCAAATGGATATCCAGCGCTCGACAGCTTTTGGAGGATCTGCTTGGCCTCTTTCACCAGCTCCTGCGGAGATCCCTTGATCTGGTCGTCTCCCTTCTTCCGTGCAGGCTCTTCCCAATCAAGCCCTTGCTCCTGGGCCGTGGAGATGAGGAAAACAGCAAAGGAGTATTGGATGGAGAGATCGGTTGTCTTCTTAACATTTTGACGATACATCTCCAAGGTCTTCTGGGCGCTGAGAAGTGAAGCGTTGTTACCGACAGCATTCCGTAGCCTGTTGTTGTCAAAGCTGATGGGAGCCGGGGCCTGTTGAGGGTAGGGCACGTTCAGGAGCTCGGCGTAGGACGATGGCCTGACATCGGGGGAACGCCTCGACTGAGCAGACGACACTCGGTTGCCAGGCATCAAGCCAGGCGAACGGCTGCGGGCACCAAAGTCGGAGTAGGTTGAGTAGACAGACGGGGGCCGCTGAAGCGGGCCGCGCTGAAGAAAGCCGCTCGAGCTAGGGGTAAGGTGTCGGTTGATGCCAGCATCCGCAGCCAGATCAGGGTTGGAGGCTGACCTGACATCTGGCATGTTGGGTGCGCTCGCCACCCGCTCAGGAGGATACTGGTCTTGATGGTGGTATTGGAACAGCGGCACGGACTGATTTCGGGGCATGTGCCCCTCAATGAGAGAGCTCTCTGCCGATCCATTGTCGCGACACTCGGAATTTTCGTTCATGCCAGAAATGGAGCTTGCACTGGTCGATGCCGAGGACTCCTTGGAGACATGTTGTCGCCTCGTGCTTGTAGTGCCATCAGATTCACGGCTGTTGCGATTGTCGTCCTGCAACGTCGTATCATTTGCTGTGAGCCCACTGATGTCTTCGGGTGCGGGGGTTGTCAAGTTGCTGTTCGGAGAGAAACCAAGGTCGAAGTCTCCCAGCGAGCCGCTGCCGATGGGACTTGCTAGCTGGGGCGCGTGTCGGCTGGATGCAGTCGATGCTGGCGAGAGCGGCTGACGGTCGTGGTGTCGCGGGCGAGAGCTCTGACTATACGGACTGGTCGGCGATTGAAGCACTGGGCTGTGTGGTGGCAGGTGGGAGTTGGTGGGCGACTGAGGTTGACTTCGCTGCCGCGTGCGGTCTGCGACCACAAACTCTGTCGTGGCGCCATGCACCTGCTCGATATTCGCATTGGAGTGAACCCAGTTGTCGGCCTGGAAATTGACTCTCACGGGAGAGACGGGAGCGTCCCGAATACGTGGAGCGGTGGGTCCAGATTTGACATCGACTCCGAGTCTTTCGTGGGAATGAGGGACCCGCGGCAGTAGTTTGTGTGTATTGGGGCTGGTCGGCTCCGGAGGGGGGGAGGTTACAGTGGCGGCCATGATGGCCAGGGTATGTGGTAACGTCTTTGATGGATAGAGTTCGCTGCGGCTGCTTGTTCGACGGCAAGGCAACACGGAGGGGCAGTCGTGGAGTGAACGAGGCCAAATGCTATTGCTCGGACGTCTCGGCGGGCATTGATGCAGGCGTATTTCTCAGAGGCTCGGTCGCAGTACGAGAGTTCGCAAGACGGTAGGATGCGCCCGCAAACTTGCCGAGTCGATCGCAGCAGAAACGAGCGGAATGCTGTGCAGCGAAGGTTTGCTGCTGTGTGAGCCGCGCAGTCGCTAAGGCTGCTCGGAAGGGGGGGGTGTGTATTATGAACTAGATACTGAATAGAGCAGTTAGTCGTGGGCTGTACTGGTGAAGTGTGCACAGTCAATGATTGCAGCAGCGAGGAAATTGATCGAGGTAGGCGGTTGGGCGGTGGGTACGAAGATGAGGAGGTTCTGCTTGGGGGTTTCGGAGGCCCAGTCGTATTCTGCCCTAGGAAACCGGCTGCTCGGCGCCATGCACGCTCGACTCCAGCAATGCGTGTGGTGGTGCAGATGGACGTGCAGGCTGGGCGGAGAGCGTTTTATGTAAGGCGTTCCTGGGGGTGGATGGAGCAGTGGCCCAGTCGTGTTCTCGAATGACAGTTGTCTTCGCTTCAGGAACAGAGACCAGAGTGGGCAGGCTGGCAGGGTAGTGTTCAGCCCACGGCGGCGAAGAAGCCGTCAAGTGCCTTTGGCAGCGGTGGGCGCTGTCAGTGCGGAAGGCAGCAACAGCCACCTAGGCTGCTAGACCACCCAGCGATCCGGCCATGGGGTGAATTTCGCCTGAGCTGAACACTGCTGCTCCCGGGCTGACTCTTCAGAACCTCGCACGACAGCAAGCAGGCGCGGCACCCGCGGAGCTTTGCATACCTCGGCCGGTAACTGACTACCTATCTACCTACCTAGGTAGGTAGGCGAAGGTAGCAGGCAAGGCAAGGCGGCCCCAGGCCATGGTTCGGAGTCTGTATTTCGCTCCGAACCTGAACTGTCCCATCACAAGCCTCAGAGGAGGAGCCCGACGGTGACACGACTTGCTGCGAGCTTTCGCGCTTGCGCCGTGTAGCCGAAGCGTAATCATCGGAGACAGCTTGATCGAAGACGGAACGAAAGAAAATGGCTTCAGACTCGACGTGACAACTGACCTAGGATGTCGTAGATGTGTGCTCGTGAAATGACACGCCACTGGGGGGCGATGAGATGCAGGACGATGCGGTGCCACGAGAAAGCAACGAGTGATGCTGAAGGATGCAGGTGCAGACGCTGACACGGCTGGAGATCGTCGGTCGCCTTGGTAAGGAACTTGGTAAGGGAGTCGAGTCCGCGAAACGAGTGAGGTTGTCGAACCGAAAGGGGCGATGGGGGTGGCGCGACGTGACGAGCCCCAGGCTATAATTAAGGGTTAACGAAAGGGCGGTCGATCGTTTTTCGGAGCCGACCTAGCTTGGATGGCAGTGGAACAATTGGGAAACAAGGTGAGAAGGTGAATAGGTGAGCGAAATGCCCTGCGTAGCGTGGCGTGGCTGGAGACAAGATATGCGAATGACTGAATCGAGCCACGGTCGAAATCCTTCTCGTGGGACTGACCTCCCACCATCCACCCGCGGGCACTTGAACCCTTGGACACTCGGGCACTCGAACACGACGGGATGGACGAAGATGTGCTCGACCAGGGTAAATGACGTACCGGATGCTTTTCGTCGTATAGGGACTACGATGGCGCGCTTTCGACCGTGACAGCGCGCTGGCTCGGCTTCCAGATGCGGTGAGGGTAGTGAGGGGGAGGGGGAGCCGAGTGGATGAATGTCACCTCGTGTCCCCTGATCACGATGCGCTGGAAACACAAAATAAAAAGCCTGGAATAGGACGGGCTACTGCGCTCTGGGAATGATGGATGATGGGCTTTGGGTGCCTCAGGGTGGGGACGGGCGCCGTTTCATGCACGTTGGCGACGGGAAGGGGGCCGGGCTCGGATTCCTGATGGAACACCTGCCACCCTACCTACCTGCTTTGGCTTATTCTTATTATTATGAACAGGCTGGGCCTCGGAGAAAGCACCTGGCCCTCTGTTCCTTGCTTTGCCCTGTGTGTTCATTTCACCAGCCGGATGGCAGTCCTTGTCTTGCGCCAACACCAAATGATCCTCACCGACGACCCTTAATGCTGTGTCTAGAGGTCGCTAAAGGAGGGGACGGGGGCCAGAGATCGGAAATGGAACATGGGTTACGGGGAAAACTCCGTTTCATGTCTGACATGAGAGGAGGCCGGACCCTGTACCAGTCGCGTACCGGTACCTCCAGTCCCTCGTTCCTCGCAGCCAGCGTCTGGTCTCCTCACAACGAGAGAGGCACAGAACTGTCATTCGCGAATCCCTCATAACCCAAGGTAGGTCCTTTACCTAGGGACCTGCCCTTGCCCGCCTGCCTGCCACGCACAGCCCGATCATGGTTCCTCCACCACTCAACCTGCGCTTTCTTGTCTCGCCGAATAGATTATTATTTTTTTTCGATTTTTTTGGCGTCGTGTCTGCCAGGGTCGTTTCCACCTGTCATCCCTTTGATGCCCAAATTTGGTCTCAGTACTTTGTATGATCGATAGCCGAGTGGCAGACAATACATGCTACCAATTGAAATCAAACGATATAGCGAACAGTACATCAAGATGCCTGCATGTTGCCTACGTTTCACAGACCGATGCTCTCCATGATGTACTGGGCTACATGTACCTGCCTAAGGTACATACACATTGAGCTATTCGGGCAGGCGGTGATCATGTTGCGTGCAAGCCCTGCTTATGCCCTGTCATGCTTCGACTGATGGTCCCAATTGAGGCTGAACTGACACCCAACACAAGCAAAGACTGCAGCTCGCCAGCCCGTCATGAGTCTCTGTCTTCCACCTCAGTCCACAGGTACGGGGCTTGGTGCAGACGCAGTCATCACTACGTACGCTGCACACAGACCAACCCCAAGATTGCGAGATCCCCATCGCCGTCTTGTACGACTGACCGCTGCTTTCTTGCTTTCTTTCCGATCATGGGGCGCTTGGGGCGCGGCGCTACAAACGACTGCGCGCCAGCGTCCTTCGGGTCTGGAGGCGGAAGAGGGGGAATTGCTCTCCTCGTCTACTACCTCGCCATGCCGTGAAGGTCACTTCGTCCTGTGCTACGGCCGACCGGCGCCTGCGCTATGCAAATCGCCCCCCAGCTTGGCAGGGGTTGGAAATAGCATCCATGACCCTACAGCACCCTACTCGATAACCTTCCAGAAAGGCGAGGAGCGCCGGATCATCAGCATCCGCCAGGCCTCCCCGCGCCATTCTACTCGTGGCTGGGCGCCCGGGTCATCTTCTCTAGAGGCCGTGCTCGTTCAACAAGATGCAGGCCCAAGCCGCCGTTTCTGCTCCGCATTCGATTCTCGAGGAGTTGAAAAATGGCCAGACATTCCCTCCTTCGCCTGGTTGACGAAGAATCCTCAGTACAAGAATGGCTATTCCACGAGGATGGGCGGAACACCACCCTCATTGCCGGTTGCGACCTCGATACTTTGCCCCATCGCCCCGTAGTTCCATTTATGGCGCAATATCCAGTCGTCCCCTCATCCCTGTGGCCATCACGAACCCTGGCGCTCAAGTACCGGTGTGTAGAGTGACCAACGGCCAGTGCAATTGTGCCGCCGTAAGCCAAGACCATCTGCACAAGGCTGGCAACCCCTATCATCAATAGCGTCTTTCGTATTCCCAACTTTGCCCCTCTCTTGAGCCCCTCTCCCTCCGCTGACCGTCTGCCACCAGTGCCAATCGAGGAGTCTTGTCTCATTGCTCACCGTGAGGACCTCCAAGCCTGCACGGGCCCGAGACCACGACAGAGTGGACAAGGCCCCCGCCGGCCGTGCTGCTCCATCAAATCCTCCTCCCATGCCCCGACCGCTCCCGGCTGCCATCGGCGGGCAAGTGCTATGCAAATAGCGTTCGCGCCCGGACGGGTGCTTTCTTTTCGGGCACGCATACATCCAGATCACGATCTCGACCTTGTCTTTCCAACGCATCTTTGCACGAGACGTCTCAGGCACGGGCCAAGTCAGGCCGTTCACGAGAAACACCCAGCGGTGAGCTACCATCCGGAGCGTTACAATCGGATTGACGTTGTACGATCCATGATGCGTCATGGGCGCCAATTCGTGTCCGAACAGCTGTGCTCCCTTGGGCCCTAAGGCAGTGAGGCAGATAGCCGTCCTGACGGCGGCTGCAACCCTATCACGACATGACATGAATCTAACTTTAGGAGGGATCGCACGAGGGAGGCATAATCTGGGCACCGCCGCACGGCGCACCTTTAAAGCTCCACGTGCTGGCATTCAGATGGTCAGCCCTGGACAGAGGGAGTGGAAGGGTGGGGCTAGCAGGCTGCTGTGAATCTACAAAATAGGTTGCCAGCTGTGATCTCGTTAAGTGAGATGCGCATTCCACCTCAGACACATGGGACATAAGACCTGGCATGAGAGAGGCTGGAGCTTGATCCCTTTTCCCAGGGCATTCTTGGGGGTTGGTGCGTGCAAGTCGCAGCAGATTCTTTTGATCGACGAGGTTCTGGAGCGACAAATGATCCTTCCCGGGCGACCACACAATACCATGATCTCCCTCATCGTCCGCGTCGGTGCCACGATTGCGCGTGTCAGTTGGCAGTGTACATCGGCTATCGTAAGAAGCTGGGTGCGGGAAGTGACAGGAAGCTGTCGGCAGGGCAACGGGCAGTGCTAGGAAATAGTAGTCGACCCTGGAGGTCTTCGATGCACGCCGATCGTAACCATGTATCTTCTGGGGTGAGGTGCTTCCATGTTCCGTGGTGCCATGCGAAATGGATGCGCGCTAAGGGAGTGAGATAAAGTCACTATGAAGTACCTACCACTCTGCATGCTGGCCCTGTTGGGAGCGTACTCCCTCAGCGTTAGTGCCACTGCACGTTGGGGGCCT